ACTTTATTTCCATTTTTTCCATTTCTCATCATTTTTCCTTTCCCTTCTTTCCTTTCCCCTGCCCCTCCCACTACCCCTACCCCTTTGGACCTTTCCTAAACTTAATTCTTAAAAGTAACCATGTCCTGTAGAATGGTGAGACAATAGAGAGCAGGCAAAACACAATCCTGCCAAAGAGCCAATCTACCAATGCATATAACCCACAACTCAAAATTCAGAAGTAGAAAAAAAAAATTCTGAAGTGTCCACATTATCTACAAAAGTCAATGATATGTATTTTACATAGTAAAAACCTTTAAGATTTATGTTCATAATAATTATGGTGGCAGCAATAATTATTGATTGATCTCCCCCCCCCCACACACACATTTGACCTCAAAATCTAATTAGTGCAGTTAAACAAACTAAAGAACCAATATGAGTTTCCACACAATTTATAGAATAGCAAAACAAAATACCTCATCATCCCCATGATTGCAAAATAGGTACCTCAAGCATAACAGGAAAAAAACATGGAGTTCAGCAAGTCAGCTCCTCCCAATACTTTTTACATCTCTAGATAATAAAGTTGACACAATGTACACCTCTAGTTCAGACCAGTTTTGTTCTTTCTACCCTGCTCAATACAGAGTATCCAACCCTGGTCATCAACTCCCCTCTCATTAATCTGTTTTGGTTGGGGGTGGGGGTGCCCGAGATCGAACTCGGGACCTTGTGCTTGTGAGGCAGGTGGCAGAACCACTGAGCTAAATCCTCTACCCCAGTTAATCTCTGTTTTGAAACAAGGTCTCACTATGTAGCCCAGGCTGGCCTCAAAACTTGCACCGATCCTCCTGCTCAGCCTCCCCAGTGCTGGGATTACAGGTTTGTGCCACCACGCAAAATATTAATATTTTAAAAAATCATTAATTTTGCCTGAAATTTCTTGAAAGCTCCATATTAACAAAGAGATAAAATTCCAAAACTTAGATGCAGTAAATCCATCCTAAAACTCCTACTTACTTTCCTCTTCTTCCCACAACACCTGAGTACATGTCTATTCTTATACTTCTAAGGCTCTGAAAAAATGTCTCCCCTAAAGTTTCCACCATGCAAACTCCTCCAGCTACCAGTAAATTAAGCTCAACTTCTGACTACTCTGTGTCCTTCATGTTGGTATCTTCTAGTAAGCCAAGTAGAGGCCAAAAATACCGATGACCATCCTACCACTGACATGGGACAGCCGGTCATGAAGAATTATCTAGTACAAAACACAGTTCTATTGATAATTTTTTTTTTTTTTTTTGCAGTACTGGAGATTAAACCCAGAGCCTTGCACATGCTAGGCAAGTGCTTTACCTCTAAGCTAAGTCCCCCAGCCCCCATCAGTGTTGAGGTCAAGAAGACTGCCATATACACTGTTTTCTCATGTAGCATTTATAGTCTATTTACCTGTTCTCCATTAGAACAAGAACCTCTTATAAACAAAAATATTCCTGTTGTTACCTGAAAACAGTCCAACTATAGTTGAATCTGTCATTACATGGAATTATGGATAAGTAGACTAAAATGTCTTATCTTACAAGTAAGGTTAACCTAAGAACACAAATTGCTTTGAAATATGTACATCTCCCTAGATTCTCATAATCTAGCATCAAATAGTAACCTTTGATGACACTGTCCAGAGCTTTCAATCTGGTCAAATATTCTGTAACTCTTAAAAATTGAAAAAAAGAATTATCAAGCTGGACTGAGTGAGGAGCACCTGTAATCCCAGATACTCGAGATAGGACATTTCCAAATTCAATGCTATCTTGGGAGTGAGACTGTCTCAAAATAAAAAGGGCTGGAGGGCCAGGGATTTAGCTCAGTGGTTCCACTGCCTGCCTCGCAAGGGCAAGGTCCTGAGTTTGATCCCCGGTACCAAAAAAAAGAGCTGGATATGTAGTTCAGTTTAAGACCCTGGGCTTAATCCCTAGTACAACCGAAAATAAAAGATAAAAAACATTTAATGAAAAAACATAAAATATTTAAAGAGAGATACAAGAGTACTTTGAGGATGACAGAAACTGGTGGTGGCAGGGGGTGCAAATGTTCTAAGCACAGAAACTACTCACTTAATATCTAACTTTGTAATCCCAGCACTCACTACACATCGAAACCCTGTCTCAGAAAAGACTAGTCAAGACAAGACCAGACCTAACTTTAAAAGAGTTGAATTCTGACGACAAAATACTATTAAAACAACTAGCAGCCCTACAAATCTAGGAGGCAAAAGCAACACAACAAAAAATGAAAAATTCCATAAAGGTGACAACAGAGAAATACAGGGAAGACAGCTGTTATGGTTAAATCAAGAATGGCCCCGAAAACCCTCAAGAGCTCAGAGGCAGGGCTTGTGGAAGATGACTGGATAATGAGAGTGCTACAGGTGGTTTGCTGCTGGGGGCTTGGGGAATACCCTGGTTAGAGGCCGTCCACTGAGGGTATGACCTGAAAAAGGGTACAGTATCTCCCTCCCCAGCTCCTTTCTGTTTCCTGGCCTCTATGTTGTAAGTTGCTTTCCTCCCAGACAGATCCTTCCACCATGCTCTCTTCCTGCCTTGGAGCTGGCTGACCATGCAAGGACTGAGACTTCTGAAACTTTGAGCCAAAATAAACCTCTCCTTTAGACTGCAGGTGTCAGGCACTGTCTCACCAAGAAAAGTGATTAAGACAACACCCTGTCTACAATGTAGCCAATCCATTAATCAACATTAGCAATGCTACTTCTAAGTAATAATATCTATTTTCCATTATCTAGAGCAAAAACCTCTTCTTTTGATCCATCATCATTGGCTCCACTAATCAAAAAGTAATCAGGGCAAGGCAGGGTAAATAAATGGTAAGACTGTGTCTCAGATAACACAAAAATTTAGCAAAAGTTGTACCGCTTTTCTATCCACATTCAATGAAAACGTTCAAAAACTGGCTCTCTAGTGAAATGTCATTAAAAGAGCAAAATAAAATGTTCCCATGAGCATACTACTGTCCAAAAAAACCCAAGAGTACCTAGAAACATACATTTCATAAGGCAATGCTCCATGTACTGATTAAATTATGAGTTTTTTCCAATACTGAGAATTAAACCCAAGATCTCACACTTTCTCTATCACCAAGTGTGCATTTTTAAATGTACAGTGTACCTTGGTTCACAATTTGTTCCACGATTCTGGAAAAGATGGCCACATTCATGTTCTTACGGGCAAGATGGCCAACACTGTGTTTGTCATCCGATGCCGAGTTCACAAACAAAAACAAAATTTTGCCCAACACTTCTGTTTGCAAACGAAATTGCTTTAAATTTGCTTTAAATTACAAAAAAAGACCCTTCTCATCCCAGAAGGTAGGTAACACTTAAGATGGTGAAAGGGAGGGCCAGGGATTTAGCTCAGTAGTGCCATCACCTGTCTAACAAGCGCAAGGTCCTGAATTTGATACCTGGTACAAAAAAAAACAAAAACAAAAACAGTGAAAGGGCAGCCTGGCATGGCAGCACACGCCTATATTCCAAGCACTCTGAGGATGAGGTAAGTAGATCATCATAAGTTAGAGGCCAGCCTGGGCTACACAGTGAGTTCAAGGTTAGCCTGAACTATACAGTAAGACCCTGTCTCACAACAACAAAAGATGGTGAAGGAGCAATACAAAAACAATCTGAGTCGGGGATTTAGCTCAGTGGTTCCAGCACCTGCCTTGCAAGCGCCAAGGTCCCAAGTTCGATCCCTGGTACCAAAAAAAAAAAAAAAAAGAAAATCTGAGTTTTGCCAGAGATTTAGCTCAGTGGCACTGTGCCTGCCTCACAAGTGCAAGGTCCTGAGTTCAATCCCTGGGGGG